ATTCCTCACATTTTATTGTTCCCGTCCGAACCCTTAGGATTTTCCCCCTCATATAAACAGTAACGGCATGATTATGGGTTATTGAACACAATTGTTCGCCTGAAATTGTGCTTTAAATACGGGTATGGGCGTATTTCGAAATTACAGTTCTCTATGGTTTGTTTATTGTTTCTCTGCCATATGAGCTACCCTGGATCTGAGACAACTATACCTTTTTCAGTTTAAGATGTCCGAAATCCAATTTAAGATGTCACAGTATGAATTTAAGATATCCGAGTTTCAATTTAAGATGTCATGTTGCTATGTGGACAGTACCTTGCACAGTACCGAGTGAAAACATAGCAACATGACCTCTTAAATTCATATTGTGACATTTTAAATTGGATTTCGGACATCTTAAACTGAAAAAGGTATAGCTTCCTTACGCAACAAAAAGTTGTCGGTTCCGTCTAAATTGAAACTTTTTCTCATCGTTGAAGTATACAGTTATCCGGTGTCTAATCCATATGATCGTAGCAATCGCATGAGCGTATTTTGATATCGGTACATCCTTTTCTTTGACTCAATGTTTTTTCTATTCGGTATTGAAACCAATTTAATGGATCAATCTTCTAGATGTCTTTCTCGCTAATTTTAATTTTCCTGCAGTCAAAACAGTGCCAGCAAAGAGGGTCGGGTAACGGCTTTTCATGAACCGTCATCGATTATCGGATCGGCAGGTGAACGTGTAAACCCTTACTGCATTCGAGGTCGTGTTCAGGATCCTCTTACCTTTTTGAATTTTAAAGCGGCTTCGCCTCCTGTTTATCACACCTAGTTGCCAATCCGGTCGAGGTTGTGTACATGTTGGGCTAGGATCCGTTTCGACCGTGGTCGTTCCAGAGTGGGACTTAAATAGTTCGCAACCATTTCTTTTTTCACTTTTTTGTTACCATTTTCGCACAACAGTAAACCAACTTTGGGATTTTGCGATTGCTGTTTAAGTCACACATTTCCTCCTCTTGCAAGCGCTGAGCGCGATAATTGACAGTGCCACCAAGTTGTGACTAAACTACAGAGTGGGTATTCTATGAATGTGCGCAATGCAGAGTTTGTCACGCACATTGAACTAGTCAATCCAACTGGCTATTGTATCACTATGGGGAAAGTGATTGTGTACTGGGTACTATCGGATTCGGGAAGAACGTATTAATTCGTGGATGGTGTATGATTTCTAGCGTGTGTGTGCGTTTGTGTGTGTGTGTTAAAGTGCGGTTAGTGTTTGACTCAGAGGTCAATGTAATCACGTCATTTAGATGCTTATGGTCGATGTAACTGTCGGTTTGTGTTATGTGCGTTTAAGAGGGAGGGGATGGGAAGAGAGTGAAGTTACACCAATAATATAGTAGGATGATCCCTTCCCTTATCTCTTGAGTGCTTCATAATCCCACCGTGTTGACTTGGTAAGAGATTACCAAAGAGGTCAAGCAATGTCTGTCACAATCACTACGAGTTTTTTCGCGCAGGCTTTAAGAATGTATTTCAAATACTCACTGAATCTGATTGCACGCACGCCATGCCGCCGAGTTACGCTTGAGAGTCTCTTTGAAACCAGCATTCTCATTGCAGATTAAATGCAGGATGCCAGTAAAGAAGACCTCGTTTTGCATTTACTAATTCGTTTGTTTCTGTGGTTCAACCACATGACGCTTGACCGGTCGTAACGCCCAAAATCCTCCGGCAACGGGTAGGGTAGAAAGGAAAGATCGCGATTGCTGCTCATATGGCCGAGGCAAACAACTGGGTTCAATCTGACTGAATTGTTCCAACCTCATCTACACGATCAATGGATTGCGATCACAAAGAGATAGGGTTCGTAATAATATCCAGGATCAGGATTCGACTGATCCTNGTTTTTGGACAACTGTGATCAATCAAGCACTACGGGTGACGTCAGCAAAGCGCGTACGTGTCACAGCTTCTAGACTACAAACCGTAGGTCCATTGTATCAACCAATGAGAAATTTTGTTGCCCAAACAGAAGCTGAATAACACCAGAAATACTGGCACGCAATTGGCAGAGGCTTGGACGACCAATGAACTTGTTTTATACATATTATTTAATCCTCTGATCTCTTTCAATAGATGAACTATTATTCCTGTGGCATTTTCCTCGCGAATGGGTTATGTGGGATACTGCGTGCAAGTACCAGTGTGATCCAGTGCTTACGTTGCGCCCGTGATTGCTTGTTCGTGATTTCTAATTCGTGATTAGTACTTCGTGATCAGTGTGTACTACTAATACTACAAGTACCACAGCAAACCCACTTTGAACGCACAAAAGCAAAGTGCCAGAGCTCTCAAATGGCCATGGGCATCCAGCACTCACCGGCTTACTTAACAAGAACACCGAAAACT